TGAAACCGGAAGCAATCCACTTTGACTTGGTATGATAATCAAGTCACCTTTGTGTTCTAGCTTTAGGGTTTTGTCAACTCTCCTGCTCTCTGTATTTCACTTTTTGGATACTTGTTGCCTCAGAGAACCCCAGTTGGCTATTGATAGCAAGCAGCAAGCTTCATCTGTGGAGCAGAAACTACCTAACACTACAGGTACCCTAGTAACTATCTGCCTGTCTCATGATGAGGGCTGAAAGCTAACAGGTGTCTCTGGAAGGATGTACAGGGCTATGGAGTATATTAGGGTTTTCCCTATGATATGAGAGGACACCATTTTGGAGAGGGGGGCTCTAGGATTTTGTCCTATTGCATTTGGGTAGCTTCTCTGACCTAATTGGTTGCTGGCAAGGCTGCAGTTTTTTGTCTTTTTTTTTTTAGACAGGGACTCACTATGCAGTCCAGGCTGGCCCCAAACTCACAGTGGTCCTCCTGACTGAGACTCCTGAGGTCTGGAATTACAGGTGTGGGCCACCACACCTGGCTAAGGCCATCAGCTTTAAGTGAAGCACAAAGGAGTGAGCTCTTGGGCAAGCCAAGGCTGTAGTGCATGCAGCTTTGCTGGCCATCATGAGGAGGGCAGATGGATGAGAGATGGTATCATTCTGTGTGTGTGTGTGTGTGTGTGTGCACGCACACGTGCACACAGAGCAGACCCTGCTACACTGAGAATGGAGGTGGAAGGGATTTAGCAAGCTTTGATGGTGCCTTGCAGGCTAGGGTCCAATCATCCACAGAGTGTCTGGGAGCTCACCTTCCTACTCTCACCACCCTTGAGGCAGTGGCTGTAAGTCCCTTTGGGGCCAGACCTGGGGGACCGTGCTAGCATGTGCTGCCTACAGTGTCACAGGCTCCTTCCTCCTCAGAGCCTGGCCTCTCTCCAATGGCTGTAATCCAGTTGTAATTATGAGCTTTGGCCTCTGCCTGCCAGGTGGATGTATCTGTGGCTTGGAGCTCTGTCACACACAGGGAGCATGAACTCTGCCATCTGCCTCTCCTATCACCCCTGGCCTCCAGGAAGAGCTTTTCACTAGTTCATTCCTTTAAAAAAAAAACTGGATATTAATCCAGGGTCTTTGCACTGAGGTATATGCCCAGCCATTATTTTATTTTTTATTTTTGAGACAGGATCTCACTAAGTCACTAAATTGCCCAGGCTAAATTTGAATTTGCTCTCCTGCCTCATCCTCCTAGAGTGCTGGGATTACAAGTGTGTACCACCATGCCCAACTCTAGCTGTTCCTCCCAGATGGCCTTGGTGAAGGGGGCATTCTCTGAGTGCTCCCAGGAGAGCCCCCTATTCTCTAGCTTTAAGTACTATGTATATGTCTTTGTTTACTGCTACTGTGATAAAGCACCCAAGGCAAAGTGATTTGTGGGGACTAGAGATCTGGTGAGGGCCTTCTTGTTGTCATCGCATGGTGAGGCAAAGCATCAAGCCTGAGGGTCTCTCTTCCTCTGCTTCTAAAGCCACTGATATCAGCACAAGGAGCCAATCTAACTTGGCTCATCTAACTTTAACTCCTAAAGGCCTCACCTCCAGATACCACAACCTAGCAATTTAGGGATTTAGTTTTCAAAACTGGATGTGGTGGTGCATGCTTGTAATTGCAGTGTGGGAAGCTGAGGCAAGAGGATGACCATAAGTCTGAGGCCAGCCTGGTCTACATAGGAAGTTCAAGGCCAGCCTGAAATACATAGTGAGACCCTATCTAAGAAAAGAGAAAAGAAAAGAAAAACAAAACAAAACAACACAACAACACAAAGGGTCAACAAGACCTGGTGATTCTCCACTCCTCTCCTATGGGCTGTGTTCTGTTGCTTTTGTTCTGATATCTGAGGAATGCAAGACAGAGTAGAGCAAACTAAGAATAACTGTGGTTTTTGCCCCATCCCAAGAGTGACAGGAGATGTCACTCATGCTGCCAATAGAAGCCTCTGAGATGATAATGTAGCATCACCAGTGTTATGTCAACCTGAGGGTTCATGTCTAACCCCTTATATCATAGAAAATGTCAAGGCAAAACAAATGAGAATCCCATCTTCTTCTAGCATGAGATCTTTCAAATCTTCTCACCTCAGTAATTCTATTGGAGTAACCTTATCCAATAGAAATGTAACTAAGTACCAAGTCTTCTCTTTTTTAGAAAGTCAGCTGTCCTGGGCTCCGTGCACTTGCTAGTACTGACAGACATGAGCAGGGTGTGAAGACTCATTGTTTAAAAAAACTTTATTAGTCCATGTTTGTGTACATTATAATTATAATCACCATGGAGAGGTGGTGCACACACATAACACATCTTAATCCTTTTTATTTCCCCTTTGTCTAAGTCACTTTTCTTGTAGCTAAGACGCATTACCTGACACCCGCAATTCACAGGAGGAGAAATTTCTCTTTTCTCTCTCACATTTTAGTCCATAGTTAGCTGGTTCCAAGGCAGAGCAGCATAGCAGGGGGCCCGGCAGAAGAGAGCTGTTCACAGCATGGAGGACAGGAAGCAGAGAGAGGAGAGGATTACAGGAGGGAGATAAACACTTCCAGGCCACACCCCCAGTGACTGCCTCTTCCACTAGGCCCCCCTTCCTAACAACAATCAGCAAGAAGCCCTACAATTCAACCACCACTCAAATGCCCATCTATGAGTACAGGAGGCATTAAGTGGACATCTAGATATAAACAATAGCTTCATTAATTCCCTCCCATGTTTCACAGAATAATTCCATCCATTCTGTGAAGGCATTTATTTTTACTTTTATTTTTTATTTTTGGTACCAGGGATCAAATTCAGGTCCTTGTGCTTGTGAGGCAGGCAGCGGAACCACTGAGCTAAATCCCTGGCTCTGCAGGCATTTAGACTGCTGCCTTGGGTTGTGTTCTTTGGAAATGTATTCTGAGGCAGAGAATGGTATGCGGGTGTTTGGGATAAACATTCAAAGGTCAAGTTCTAACATAATTACTAATTTTATAACATCCTTAAGGATATTCTTAAGTGAAATCTATGTTTTTTTCTTTTCTTCTGTGGGTGCAGAGCAGTGAAGAATGCCAGTGACTATGGTGTGCAGGTGCCTCCAGGTACAACCACGGCCACTTTTGCACCGTCAGCACAAAAGTTGACACAGTGAAAAAGTAAACAATCCCTCAACATCATTGTCAAAATAACCTGACTTTTGCTGCCCCACTGAAAGGGGCTGGAGACCCTAGGGGTCATGGAATACACTTAAAAAACCACTGATCTAAATGACTCATAGTTTGATGACTGCATACTCTACACTGCAGCTGTGTGGGTCCACTATAGCAAATATACCCTCCCACTCATCTTGCACAGGTGGACATATGGCTAGTCCTTGGGCAAGTCTGTGGTAGATCACTGTCCCTGTTATAATGTAGTTTTTGTAGAAACCAACAGAAGTACTTGTGGATAGGCCAGGAGGCAATAATCTCCACCATCAGATTCCCTTCTGAAGTATTATTACGATTTACTATCTCAGCTCCCAGGTTGGGGAAGAAGTTTTGAAGACTCCCTTTGGCCTGCCCTTTTACAGTAGCTTTGACCCTGCAGGTCAAGACATCAACATAGGATTCTGCCAGTGACCACGATGTGCATCTGATGATACCTTTGGAAACTGGAGAGACCACCATGGAGCAGGTACAGTGGCCTAGTGCATCCACCATGAGCCGGACCTGGACTGGGCTCCACTACCAGCTGACTTCACTTCTAACCTTCCATCCTTGCCACATGTGGCAATAATTATGGAAGGATCACCATATGGGCCAGTAGCACACAACTTCCAAAACCATGACCTAATCTTATTCATAGAAGACTTCAATAACAATTGAATATGTATCCACTCCCAGGGTTTTGCCCTCATTAGAACAGCTATGCTTTTAAAAATGCATTGCCATCTTTCTGAAGTTCTCACAGGGAGATTAACTTCTCAGTGCATTCTGTTGATGCTTGACTCAGTGAGAAATACAATCTTGTAAAAGAATGTATTTCTTGTTTTTGATTAATTAAAAAGGTTCTGGCCCAAGTTACTTGTAAATGTACGTACTGGACTTCATGATATGCACTGAATGCACCTTATAAACTATTATCCTACTTTCCTTTCTGTCATATACTTTTCCTTCTTCCAACTCCCTTCATTTTTCTATGTCATGTGTCTCTTTGTGAGGTGCTGTAAAGCATAACATAACTTCTGGGATGGAGATGTAACTAAATAGACTGCTTGCCTAGCAGGCACAGGCTGTGGGTTGGATCCCACGTACAAGCAAGATAATAAAATAACAGCTTCCGAGTAGTATCTTTTAATATTTTCTCAATTTCTGTGGATGTGTATCTGGTTTATTATGTGTACAGGGTGAGTTAAATGCTCCCCTTCTTTTTTAATGCAATAGAACATTTATAACACACCTGTACCACTGATCCTGTCACAGCAGCAAATTTAGTTTAGTGGGTGGAGAGATAGCATAGCTTCTTTCTGGGGTAGGCTTTCTAGCTCCAATACCTAGCCATCTCTCTGAGAATAGTAGAAAACACCATCTTACACCTCTTCTTTAAGGAAAACAAACACTTTAAGGGTAGCCATCAAGAAATGTGTACAAAAAAAAAGAAAAAGAATCGTATACAAAAGAAGCAATCAGATATTCAAATCTGGACTAGAAAATCCAGCACAACATCCCAGACCGCAGGTAGGGGAAGCAGAAGACAGGGCTCAGGTCTGCAGGCCACCTCCAGAGGGACTGCTACCAAAAGTTCATTGGCCAACTTGTTCCACGCGAGCACCTATTTCAGGCAAAAGCGGCAGAACCTCGGACAGCACCCAGACGCGCCCCTCGGGCAGGTGGTGTCAGCACCGAGGACAGCGACAACCCGCAGGGTCTCCTCGGCGCAGTCCTGCTAGGCTCGGCGCGGAGCTGGTTGAGCGCGCGGCACCGCGGGCAGAGAGAGCTACAGTCGCGCAAGGAACCGGGCGGGGACAGGCGGCCTTATCAGCTGATGCCTTACGTAGGGCTGGGTCCCACTTTGATAAGGCAGGTCTGGTGGGCGCGCCAGCGTCCCCTCTCTGGAGCTGCAGCCCCAGACGGAGTGGTAAGGGGACGCGGCCCGATCAGGAGGCAGTTCCCAAGAGCAGGTACCTACATGGCTTCCTCAGCGAGGATCTGAGGCTGCTACCGGCTGCCTGGAGAGGGGCTGGCGGCGGGAGCAACGCAGTGAGGTTCAGCTCTGACGCATGGCCGCGCTCCGAGCACCCACTCGCCGCAGGGCCAACCCCGGGATGCTAGGCTTTGAGCTGCTGGACAGCCGCCTCCGCCGAGGTGAGGAACCCGCGCCATGTGACCCAGATCCTTGACCCTTTTGCCCTGGCTCTGGGGCATCCAGGCTTCTGGGCTTGCAGTCCAGCGTCTTCCACCCGGCCACCCCATCTCGGGCAGGAGGCTAGAACCACCTTCCCTCCCCAGACGTCTCGCCACTGGCCAGAGGCCGTGAACAACCAGACTACTCCTGAGCGAAGGGGGCAGAATGGAGTATTGAGCGCCTGTGCTACAAGCGTGCGGGGGCTAGTGCCCCGCGTCAGCGATGGATCTGTCCGTGAACTTCTCCTTTCCCCTCTCCACCCCGTCCTCTCAGGAGCCCAACCGCAGTCTGGGCGCCGAGGACCTGCGCCCCAGCCCGCCCCTGCTCTCGGTCTTCAGCGTGCTTGTTCTGACCTTGTTGGGCCTTCTGGTGGCGGCCACTTTCGCTTGGAACCTGCTGGTGCTGGCCACCATTCTCCGAGTGCGTACCTTCCACCGCGTCCCGCACAACCTGGTGGCCTCCATGGCGGTCTCTGACGTGCTGGTGGCCGCGCTGGTCATGCCCCTGAGCCTAGTGCATGAGCTCTCCGGACGCCGCTGGCAGCTAGGCCGGCGGTTGTGCCAGCTGTGGGTGGCGTGTGACGTGCTGTGCTGCACAGCCAGCATCTGGAATGTGACGGCCATAGCTCTGGACCGCTACTGGTCCATTGCACGACACCTGGAGTACACGCCCCGCACCCGCAAGCGTGTCTCCAACCTGATGATTGCACTCACCTGGGCGCTCTCCGCGGTCATCTCTCTGGCCCCGCTGCTGTTTGGGTGGGGGGAGACGTACTCTGAGCACCGCGAGGAGTGCCAGGTGAGCAGAGAGCCCTCCTACGCCGTGTTCTCCACTGTGGGCGCCTTCTACCTGCCTCTCTGTGTGGTGCTCTTCGTGTACTGGAAGATCTACAAGACTGCCAAGCTCCGCGTTGGTGCCAGGAAGACCAACAGCGTCTCCCCCGTACCTGAAGCTGTGGAGGTGGGTGCACAGCGATCCTTAACAATTCTTTACTTGCATCTTCACGGGCTGTACCCCAGGATGCCTTCCCCACTGTTCGTAGAAAGTGGAACTTTTTGGCTTAGGGAAGGGCAAGCTGGGGGAGAGAAAGCAAGGGCTGGAGACTTTGCCCTGACAAATTTCACATCACAGAGCTATTCATCTACTGACACCTCTGACGGATTATTTCTTTAGCTATAAAATGAGAATTTTGAGCTACATGTTCTACTTGGTCCTCCTTGGAACCAAAACCCTGCGGAACCATAACATCCTTTAAAATACATGGAGAAGCTGGTGCCTACGGCATGTGGGGTCACTGCCCCAGAAACACCTGCAGCTTTCTTTGAGAGTGAGGGTTAGGGGAGGGGAGGTGGCTGGACTCCACAGAGAGATCATCACACTTCAGGCACAGCGCCTTAGTGTTTTGTCCTTGTCCATTTTTTTTCTTTGCAAATTATAGCAGCTGATTTTGCAAAATGTGGCATCTCCTAGGTTACTGTCACTTGGCAGCATCCTCCCCTCCTGATGTAGGATTGCAAGTACTGTTTACTCGAGTCTAAGTGCCTATGTTTTTATCTGTTACTGGGCCTTGTGGCCCTTCCTGGGTCTATACCCTGTGGCCTCATAGGCTGCATGTGCACCCAAGGACCACTCATCTGCCTTTCTGATCATGAGGAAAGCTAAGGTGGAAATTAAAACCCCAAGATAGACAACTCCACAGCTCCCCACAAGTGGTGTTTAATGTGCAACAACTGCTCTAGCAACCATGAAGGCTCTTTTAAAAATCTTTTTCTCCCCACCCACACTTTCCAGTTTTTTACCTCTTCATAATCTGACCCTATGATTCAAGATTCTGTAGCCACATTAAAATGGAATCCATTGGATGTGGAAGCTTCTTCTCCACCCCTTCCTTACTAATTACCAAGGCTCATTCTGAACCTCATCCACATTCCGAAGTCAGGTCAAAAACATACCCAGGCCTCAATTTCTGTTACTGGGCTCTGTGACAACAAAGTATATTTAATTCAGTATACTGTGCCAAGCGTGTACTATGGGCTCGAGAAGAGAAGTAACAGAGCGATGGGCTTGGCCTGTGCAGAGTTGGGTCTGGCCAGGGAGATAGATCCCCTTTGTGAGCCCTGCACTATGGTGGCATTTTCTCTACTTGATAGCTAAACTTAGACTAGAGTTGCCCAAACTTAGGCTAGAGATGTAGTTAGGGAAAATGTGTAGGGGTGTTCTAGAAGAAAGACGGGGAAAGGGTTCAGAGGCTACCTGTCCTTTAGTTTATGGCAGTAGTCCTCAGCCAAGGGTAACATTGCATCCCAGGGAACATTTAGATGGCCTGGAGACATTTTCAGTAATCCAGACTTGGGATAGTATGCTAATGGTATCTAGCATGCAGAGACCAGGACACTACAGCCAAGACTTGTTCAGACCAAAATGTCCAGAATATCAAATTTTGGGAACTCTGATCTGTTAGATTTCTACGCTGAACAAGGAGCAGCAATGGGGAAGGATGGCAGATATCCCACCAAAGCACCTGGTGTGTGAGAGTGCACCCAGATTCCAGGCCAGGAGTAAGAGGGCTGGCCATCTCCAGGTCCCTCTTCACAGAAACCCTCTTGAGCCGGATGCTATTTAGGCAAATGAGGTTGATGATCAACACCAATCCCAGCTTTAAGAGGGAAAATCAATTCCCAGTTCTCTTAGTGCTGATTGTAAAAGGACGAGGGTGCCTCATTATCTGTATCTTTTTCTTTTTTTTTCTTTTTTTTTTCTTTTTTTTTTTTGAGACAGGGTCTCACTATGTAGTTGAGTCTGACCTGGAACTCACTACATAGCCCAGGCTCATCTCAAACTCACAGCGATCATTCTGCCTCAGTTTCCTTAGTGCTGGGATTACAGGCGTGTGCCACCACACCCAGCTTCATTATTTGGGGGGGGGTACCGTGGATCGTACTCAGGTTCTTGCGCTTGAGAGGCAGGTGGCTGAACCACTGAGCTAAATCCCTGGCCCCATTATCTGTATCTTGATGATAGCAGAAGTAAAGCACTATGAGACCTTTCTACACACACACACACACACACACACACACACACACACACACAGAGCTTCCCTCCCCACCCCCTGCCAGATCACTTTTGAAAGTGGGTCCCTTGGTTTCACAAAGCCTCTATGTGGTCCCAGACCCTGTGTGTAATATGGAGCTGTCTTTCCCTTCTGTTCTTTTTTTGTTTTTTTTTTTGAAACAGGGTCTCACTATGTAGTTGAGACTGACCTGGAACTCACTATGTAGCCTGGGCTGGTCTCGAACTCACAGTGATCCTCCTGCCTCAGGTTCCTGAGTGCTGGAATTACAGGCACGAGCCACCATGCCCGGCTTCCCTTCTGTTCTATAGTGGAATAATTGCAAATGAGGCTCCCTGACTGCTCTGTGATAGTGGGTGTCAAAGTTTGTAAATACAGTCCTACTGTCAGCTAATTGTGTTACCTAGGGAGATCACAACACATCTCAGTTTCTTTGTCTGATGAGCTTTATTTGATTGTATGCACAGCCCCTAACCTATGTCAGGTCCTGGGATGGGAGCTGCCAGAAGAGGCAGATGGATCTTGAATTTGTCAAAGTACAATGAACCACCACAGAAGACCTGAAATTAAATGACAGAATGAAAGACATTGCTTACCATGGTGAGAAAGCCATTCTAGTGTGGTCAGGCAGACTCTCCCTGTGCAGAGAGTAGAAGACTGATCTTACACTATGCTTCTGGAAGTCATGCTTTGGGTCTCAGGCTACTGAGGTGTGATTGGGTGACTGGAACTCCATGTAGCCTGGGCTGGTCTCGAACTCACAGTGATCCTCCTGCCTCAGGTTCCTGAGTGCTGGAATTACAGGCACGAGCCACCATGCCCGGCTTCCCTTCTGTTCTATAGTGGAATAATTGCAAATGAGGCTCCCTGACTGCTCTGTGATAGTGGGTGTCAAAGTTTGTAAATACAGTCCTACTGTCAGCTAATTGTGTTACCTAGGGAGATCACAACACATCTCAGTTTCTTTGTCTGATGAGCTTTATTTGATTGTATGCACAGCCCCTAACCTATGTCAGGTCCTGGGATGGGAGCTGCCAGAAGAGGCAGATGGATCTTGAATTTGTCAAAGTACAATGAACCACCACAGAAGACCTGAAATTAAATGACAGAATGAAAGACATTGCTTACCATGGTGAGAAAGCCATTCTAGTGTGGTCAGGCAGACTCTCCCTGTGCAGAGAGTAGAAGACTGATCTTACACTATGCTTCTGGAAGTCATGCTTTGGGTCTCAGGCTACTGAGGTGTGATTGGGTGGTCACTATCGATATGAGCAGCTATTGCTTGGTTGTTGCTCCAACGGGAATTTGTTGGAGCATGTGCATCACTGGTAGGCTTTTAGAAGCAAAGGGCTGACACCAATAGATTAGTTTGTAAAGGCATCTTCATTGAGATGAATTATCTTTGGTTAAAACAGTTGGTTAAAGGGGTTAAAGGAGTTGGTTAAAACCAGCCTTGAAGCCGGGGATTTAGCTCAGGTGTTCCTCCGCCTGCCTCTCAAGCACAAGGTCCGAAGTTTGATCCCCAGTACAAAAACAAACAAACAACAACGAAACAGCGCTGGGTCCCCAGTCTTCTACTACATGTGTGGGAATATTTAGTTCTCAGCCTCCTGCTTGTGATTCTTATCAGCCAAAGATTCAGGGGAGACCAGCAAGGACTTCACATTCTTACTCCTGTAGTTAACTCTCATTGAAGGTGAAATTTCATCTGTGGTGATCTGAGGCTGAATGCTCTGTGAGGGCTGGGGTAGCTCTTGTGCTAGAGCACTTGCTTAGCATGCATGAGACCCTAGGTTTGGTCTCCAATCTGAGGGTCTGGTGAGAGACAGAGAGGGAGAGGAAGAGGGAGAGAGAGAAAGGGAGAGGTGAGAGGACAGAATGCACACTGATTCACAAGATTATACTCCATTCTTTCAATCATTCTAAGTCATCTCTCTGAATAGGGTTGTGCATGGAAAGTAGTGGACAACAGACACTGAACAAGTAGGAAACAAATATAACTAGGAGCAGAATGTGGAAGGGCTGGATGATCTCCCAAGTTGTGACCCAAGGTCGCCTAGCTCGGATCAAGAAAGCAAGTCTCAAAATTTCTCCATGTCTTTCTTAGGGAGCTAGGTGCTGCTTTTTCTTCTAGCTCACATAGAGATTACTTTACTGTGTACTAATGCAGGCATAAGAGGAAATATTAGCTGTTGTACAGGAAGTATTGCTTGCAGATAGATTCCTCTGTAGTTGACCAAAGGAAAACTTCAGGCTATCCCATTAGCTGTGGCTACATGGGTCAGGGTATTGTTTGGGGGCTGACAGCATTGATTGTATAATTTGCTTTGAGAGCCCATGTAGGCATTATTTACTATGACAATCTTTAAATAGTACTGAAATCTTCTATGTATGTATTATGAATGGAGTCACTATCCTTAAGAGTCTTTCCCTGAAAGAGTGTCACCCTTTTGTGCTCTTCAATAGGAAACATAGGATACAGAAAGGGAGGTTTTACTTCTTATTTTGCATGTGTTTTAAGGGCTATGCACTATGCTTTCAGTATTTATCTTCTTTTTTAATTGCTCAACATCTGATATTTTGATATTTTCAAATAAATGGCAGCAAGAATATCATACAAATTCAATAATTCACATAGTGACCATGCTATTTTAACTATAGCATCCTTCCTACCACCTGAGATGTTTCATATAATAAACAAGTCAGAGCCCCTTACTCCACTACTATAAAGATGCAGCCATAAACTAAGTGGTTTGAACTAACCAGACAGACTTTCTCACCTTGTCTAGCACCCAGAAGATTGTATGTTGCTGATAAGCAAGCTGTGTTGCTCTCCTGAGCCACACAAGGCTGCAGTCAGGAAGAGTAAGGTAACAATCGGGGCAGCCACCTATGAGAATGACCTGCTGACCCAGAAACGGTCCTGTGGCTTGGATGGGTTGAATGCTTTGCTAACTTAGTTAAGGAACCCATTGCAATTCCTTCTTTCATATTCAGGCTGCTGCATCATCAGCCACTTATGATTTCCATTCTCCTGAGAGCTAAAAACAATACTGGGCTGGGGAGGGGCACTTTCTTCTCTGGGAGCTCAGCTTTCCAAGAGAAGGAAATGAAGGCAGAGAGCATCATGTAGGAAGCTCTCCTGGGGAAGAGATATAGGATTGGGGAGAGGGTTGTGGTGCATTATCCCCTGATAATGTGGTCCCCCTTCCACTGACTCTTGGAGTTTGTTTGTGACACATATAGGTGTGTGGGGGGAGACACAGCAGCAACCCGGAGCGAGCTAAGTGGCCCAACAAGTGCCCAGTCATTTTAGAAGGGGCTTCCTGAAATCTAGAACATCATAAAATCTGGTCCTAAGTTTACAGGTGTTTGATGAAGACTTACCACACTTATTTTTCCAGTACTAGTGATTGGACCTAGAGAATACTGAGCTACATCCACAGCCCCTTTCATTTTTGTTTGAGTTTCAGTTTTCCTCACCAGGAGTAGGATCCTTTGTCCTAAGGTTGGGCAGTGGTAAAAGGATGCAGCTCCTGGTCACCCTATGATCTCAAGGGCCACATCCCGAACTCTATAACATTCTCTGCATCCAAGTCAGCATGCTTGGTAGGACGGAGTATTAAATGCTTGTGATATTTTCAGCTTTAACCTGTTCCCCAGGATGGGGCCCCACCATAAGTTGGGAGTACCTGTGTGCTGTGCCTTTGTTGCTGGATCCCTCGAGCCCTAGGCCTTGTTGTTGATGTTGTCCAGTCTATTGAGCAGACTAGGCCCCTAGCATGACACTCCTCCACTTCTGTGGTGCACATGAACAGCCCAGCATCAGCACCCCATTTCCTGTCTGTGGTTGAGTTTTACAGTGGTCAGGTTCCTGTGCCTACAAATTCAGCTTTGCATCAGAGTAAATGTGCAGGGCCCAGGCCACCATCATCCAGGCTCAGCCTGGTGGGTGTGGAGTGCTGGCTCTTCACAACACTGCTGCTTGTGTCTTGCAGGTGAAGGACTCCACGCAGCAATCTCAAATGGTGTTCACAGTCCGCCCTGCCACTGTCACCTTCCAGACAGAAGGGGACACATGGCGGGAGCAGAAGGAGCAGAGGGCGGCCCTCATGGTAGGCATCCTCATAGGGGTGTTTGTGCTGTGCTGGATCCCGTTCTTTGTCACTGAGCTTGTTGGCCCTCTCTGCTCCTGGGACATCCCTGCCGTCTGGAAGAGCATCTTCCTCTGGCTTGGCTACTCCAACTCCTTCTTCAACCCCCTCATCTACACAGCCTTCAACAAGAACTACAGCAGCGCCTTCAAGAGCTTCTTTTCCAGGCAGCACTGATCAGAGCTGAGGGCAGGAATGCCTTCATCCCCTGGCTCTTCAGAAATTTGATCTCCCGTTCTTCCACATGTGCCCTGCAGCCACACAGATGAACAAATTCTCCAAGTGTACCAGGGCCATCTCAGAACTCAGTGCACCTCTCTTCACACTTGCACACAGGGAGATATCTCCACCCAGGGCTCCAGTGTGTCCCACCTGTCTCCTGTCCCTCACTCTGCACTAGCAGCCACAGACTTGGCCCACTGAGTGCCTGCTTCTCCAAGTCCTCTCTAGCATGGTCATGGCATTGGCCTGGAGAAGTCCCATTCTGCAAACAAGAGGGAGGAGGTGGTGCATAGGGACAGGTGGAGAACAAGTGAAAAAAAAAACAGTAAGAAGCCCTATGAGGACTTTAGGGGTAAGGAGACCATAATTCCAAGATTTTTAGAGTCTTTCTCATTTCAAAGTTCTGCTCTGTGGTCCTAGTAACTATGCCCTAACTCTTATTAGTTATTTCCAATATTTGACCTCAAAAGTTGTCTACAAACATATTAAAGTACATAACCCCATGGATGTGGACAGTGACTACTGGCATTGTGGTTGTTTGTGACATCTACACACACACACACACACACAAAACTATAGAAGAGGCAGATGCTCCAATTGGTTAGTTCACTCCAGTAGACCACCCATCCACTTAAACCATATATTAAGAGCCAAATTAAATATATCCTCCCATTTTGAAACAACTCACAAACAATATAAAAACCTACCAGTTTCATAGAATCTGCCAAACTTACTCATTTCCAATGGATTTCATGTGTATGGAATTTACTGAAATGTTTCTGGGCAAAAGCCTTTATTCTCAGATCATGGAATTAGGGTAAAATGACTGTTATGAGGTTATTGACTTCTTAAATACAGTTTCACAACCAGAGACTCTAAAGGCACATTCACCAGGTGGATGCATGCACATTGGCAAGGTCGTTGATTGATTTGTAGCTGCTCTGCTGTTGACATGCAAGTGCCTACCAGGAGGCCAACGCTAATGACTAATGAAAAGTAGAACAAAAGTCAAGTGTGGTCTTGGTCCTCTTTGGATTGGCTGTGTAGTTGGTGGAGGAAGAGAGCCAGGTCATGACACAGGTGTGTACAAACACATCAAACTTGGTCACAGCCCCATTTCCAGAGGCCAAGCAAAGGAACTGTCAGAAAAACACAACTGAAGAATCTGCAGAGACAAGGCAGCTGTCTTTCCAGAATTGCATGCATGCTGACTTCTCACCAAGAACAGAGGACACCCAACTCATCCCAAGAATCTTCAGACCAGAGGAGTTCCGCGGAAGTCTCAGAATACTTGGATGCCAGCAAAATCCAGGTTTGTTGGCTGGTGGCTTCTCTTATTATCATACTTATGGATCAATGCTTTAAATCACAGTGATCTATAGTGACAGGGCTATTTCCTGAGTAGCACTTGCTAAGCTGTCTCAATTAGTAAACTCACCTTTGGTCAAAGAGAGACAATGAGCTCCTCAAAGTCCTATAAACCCATGTATTTCTTCAATTGGCTAAAAGTGCAACTAGTGTCATCCTCAAGAGTTTTTTACTTTAAGTGAGGGAGAAGTTCTCCAAAGACCTGGGGCAACATGCATATCACATCAGGGGGCTCAGCCAACCATCATCTTCATGTCCACACCAGACTGAGAAAAGTGGGATAGCATCTTGTCTCTAAGGAAGAACTCACAAAGTAACAAATGTTTTTTGTAATGTAGTTTTGCCAAAATTAATTGTTTAATAGCTTTTTTTAAACCTAGATCAAATTGATGAATATAAAAAGGTCTCCCCCGACCTAATCCTATGAAAACACTTGCAAAATGTTCTAAACCGTGTGAATTCTGTCTTCTTATTGACCATTGCTCTAAAGGTGGGAGCCCTTCATGCAATGAATCTTTAGAGCTAAAAGCAGGAAGCATGGTTGTTTTTCTTCCATTCTTTCTTTGCAACATTCAGTATAAATAAACTCACTTGCTAGTGTTGTGCCCTAGCTTGCATCCCCAAGAAGACCACCACTCACTTATGCAACACACAAGAGCACTTTACTAGCACAACATGCAATGGGTCTGCCACTCTGTGTTTGGAGACCCCGAAAGGCAATTTTAAGCCTCTTTTATAGGTTTTGGGATACATTAGCTTTAGTAACAAGCTTTATCTCTATTATGATTGGTTAGTTATTACATTCAAATCCTATTGGCAATTGTTGGGGTGGTGAGCTATTCGGGGTGGCCGAGTTACAGGGTTGCTATGGGGTGGCCGAGTTTCAAGGGTGCCAGGTGGTCTTATCCAATGGAACATTCTGTATTTCTATACATTTTGTTGTTTTCCCAGGAACTAGTTTGCCTTGTTCAGCAGTCACAAGACAATTGGGTTCGTTTTTAGGTCAGGCTCAGTACGAAATGAAGCCTTCTGTTACAATATGGAGTCACTCTGGCCTCCACACTAGTGAGTTCTTACCAGTCTCCCTGCTAAACACCTACGTGAATTGTTTTCTTTTATTCTCTCAACCACACACACAAAAAATCTGACCTTTTTAACACCACTCCACTAGAAAGATTTGGTGACTTAACCTACATAGAGTCAATCAAAAACAAAACAAAACAATAAGAAATTGAACATTATGTGTGATTTAGAGAGACTTTAGGCAATAAAATTCCCTGTTAAGATCCCCGATTCTTTGAACACAAAAATTGAAAATTATGTATTATAATACCCTCTAAATTATTATAATACATACAAATATATATTATATTGCATATAATAAATTATGTCAAGATTTCCAAAGTAGGGAATTTGTGTTGGTTTCTTTGTCCTGACGTGAAGTTTAGTCTCATATTTATTGCACACTGTTTTTATGCACAGCAGATGAGCAGTGAGGAAATGTTAGACTCCAGGAATCATGGCTGATATGCTGAGCCCAGCTCCTTACACATGTACCTAAGTAGCTTCACTGAATATTTCCCCCAAAACAGCCTTAGATCAAAAGTTCGGGCCCAGCCTGAACAACTTGGTGACTTAGTGAGACTTTGTTTCAGAATCAAAAAATTAAAAAGGCTTGGAATGTAACTCAATGTGAAGAACATGGGTTCAATCCACTACTGAAAAAAAAAACAACAAAAACCTGTCTGCTATGAACGTTGTGGGAAGGAAGAAACATCCTGAATGGCGTTTTCTGCCTGCTATAGCCTGGCTGCTTTAAAATAATAAACATATCTTGCTCATCACTCCACTCCTTAGCTATGTCTCTCGAGCCTAATTGAAGGCTTAGGTTCTCCAAAATAGTTATTTCCTTCCTTGGAAGCTTGGGAGGCAGCTTGTCAGAAAATGTCAGGCAATGCAACTGTTGTTGCATTGAGAGAATGTCTAAGAGGAAGAATGACTACTCTGCAGACTTCTGGTATTGACCATCCCTGTTGCTTTTCTCCCCACTTTCCAAGAAGCTCCATATCGAAGCCTCCTGCTGCATAGGGTAAGGGAATGAAGTTATAGCAAGAAAGGCCCCTGAAAACACCCAGGGGCTGCTGTGGCAGCAGCTGTGAGGGATGCCACTAAGGAAGCAGAAATGGCAGGGTCAGGCGGTGCCACCTCTGTGAAATCCACTTTGGTCTTAGTGAATCATGGTTTAACCACCACCAACAACCCAGGGCAACAATCAGCTGAACTCCCACATATGGTTGCATTTGGAGCCAAAGTTCCCCTGTTTTCTGCGATTCTTCCTGCAGGTGTTAGGGCAGCCACATAATGTGATGGCAACCATGTTTATTCCCAAAGCACTGGACCTTAGATAATGTTCTCCCTAGGTCAGAGCATCCCTCCTGGCAGAGGTCCTCATTAGAGACTGGCCTGGTGACAGAGCTATTGTCCTAACAAACGCTGGCCAGTAGCCCTGTTCACAGGGTCTGCAGAGCTGCATGAATTCTTCATTAACCAGAGAATTCAGCACACTGAATCTTTGTTTTAAAAATGATGGGTTTGTGGTTTTGAATGAATTTCATTTTTATGTGAGTCTTTAAAACCATAAGAATAAATATTTTCTTTAAAATAGATTTTTAAAAGTCCTCAGTCTCAGAGATTGAACAATGTATTGAAAACTGCTTTTTTGCATGGAGTAGAATGCTGAGGGTGGAGAAAGGACTGCAGGATATTCACTGTGGGAAATTCTGCTTTACAAAGATAGAATCAAGTCCCTAGATAAGAAACACATGCAGATTCGTCTCTGAAAGGAGTTGTGCTTTGAAAGAAGCATAGCCAATGGGCTCTTGAAGGAGGAAGGTGACCCAGTTTTTAGGGGAATCCCATTGGCAGAAAGAAGAGCCTTCAAAGCAGTGTTGGGGATCCCAATCCTGGGTTGGCTGTGACTGAGGAGTTGAGGGCAGCACACTGTCCCTGGAACACATCAGATGAACAGAGGATGTCCCTGGAGGATGGGAGGTGGACAAAGGGCATCCCACAGGACAGAAGATGGCCAGGATGTCCCCAAGGACATGGTGGAAGGGCAGCAGTGGAGGTTGGTGGGACCAGGGTGCCCTTGCAAGAGGCTCTTCTTGGGCTGCATGACCACAATGCTGTGCTGCTGGCCTCTGTGGTGGAAGCGCTGATGCTCCCCACTGTTTCAGTTCCCAGAGAGAATAATCTAGATACTGCCCCGCTTTGGGGAGACTCCATGCTTATTATGACATCAAAACCCAGGGTCAGTGGATGAGGCCCTTTAGCTCCCAAATCCCCAGAAGTGGCTCTTCTATTCCCTTCAGGGCAGCTCTGCATGGATTTCCAGACCAATCCCTGCTTCCTGCAGGATTCCAACCCACAGAGAGAGGGTCTCGGAGTGGCCATCAGGCCACCCCTTCTTGCTGCTTCTGCCTGGGTCTTAATATGACTGTAGATGGAAGGCTCCAAGTCATCACTGCTGCCACTCTACACTGGGCAGAGTTAGGTGAGGTGACAGGAGGACAGGGCTGTGAGCACTGACCTTCCCCTGACAGGACAGGAATGGAGGGGCAAGGGAAGCAGGAAAGATTTAGATATCACAAAATAACAAGTACAACAGGGAAGCCATCTCAGAGTACATGCATGTGTGCATTACATAAAAAGAGGACTGCAATATATTTGTACTGGAAGAAATTTATGAAACACCTCAGTTTTGCTTTTTCAGTGCTGGGCATCAAATCTAGGCCTTGGGCATGTGAGATAATCTTTCTCCCTGAGCCACATCCTGACCCTCGATATCATTTTTGTAAGCACATATTTACACATATGTGAGGGCTCATTTATCCTAGAAGTTTATATAGCAAGACAGGAATGGATGAAGTTACAAGTGACTTCATTTTCAATTTCTAATATTTTTTTGACAATTAAGATGAATATAATTCTAATCAGAAACAAAAACATCTATAGGAGCTGAAGACAAAGCCAACTTTGGGAGCCAAAGGGCTTTTTTATGTATTTCAAATAGACCAGTTTAGCAACAGTTTTTGGCCCAATAGTAACAAAAGAAGCCAAATGTTCCTCTTTGAAGTTGGGCTGGAAAGCAGTGCTTTCTTCTTGATGATTCCCCCTGTGGTTTATTAAAGTAATCAAGGCTTGTTACAGAAAATTCCAACACAGTGCATTTTATTATCTTTCACAGGGTGGTGCAGCATGGCATGTGGCTGCCCATCTGTCTGGTAAGGGCACAGGGACCTGGGGAGGGGGAGGGCACTCACCCATCTCTTGCCTTGCTCTGCAGTCCTTGTTGATGGGTAGACATGACGATGTGTGATGAATTATTAATAGAAGAAGCTGTGAGACCATAAATATTCAGGGGGATACATCTGGTTTCCCTGATGTTTTATGTAAGGCAGAAAGCGTACATCTTTCCTGAGTAGAACTACTTGTCAACCCCAAATCTCTTGTTTGCCTAGACTCAAGCACTACAAGGAGAAAGAAGACTCTTCTGACATTTCACATAAACATCCAGCTGAGCCATTGTGTGAATCCAAGTGCTGAATCTAGCCTGGAGTAGATGAGGAGAACCAAGATGTCACCATGGCCCCTCAGGGGATGGAAGCTGCCTGTGGGGGCTGGGTGGGAGGAGAATCTCCTCACAGTTTTTGCACAGGTGAAATGTGACATTTAAGAAAGCCATTTGAAGCCTTATTAGAGGACAAAGAAGGAAGCGTTCCTAAGGTGTTTGCAGCTCAAGGAGAGAAGGAGTATATGGTGGGGCATTGAGGACCCACCGGGACACTGACAAGATGGCTTCCTGCCCCAGTTTCCACCTGCTATTGTTTATATATCCAGCATCCCCCAAAGACTCACGTAGGAGGGCTTGATTCTCAATGCAGCAATATCCAGCAATGTCATGAGGGTGTTAACCTCACCAATGGGTTAGTCCATTGGTAGTTCAGAGACGAATGGGCTGTTAGGAGGAAGACGACCTAGGTGAAAGAAGTGGGTCACTGGGGACATGCCTTTGGGGTACATCTGGTCTCCTTCCCATTCCTATCTGGCTCTTTCCCTCTCACTCTGCTTCCGGGCTTCCATGAGGTGAGCAGTTGTCTTCTACCACGCCCTTCCACCATGGCAGCTTTGCCTTGGAGCCAGCAGACCATGGGCTGAAATCTCTGAAACCATGGGTCACAATAAACCTTCCCTCCTTTAACCTGAGATCTCAGGCATTTTGTCCAGCAGTGAGAGCTGACCAGTACACCACCCCGGGAACATAATGTCCAGATGTCTGTGTCTTCATCTCCAGTGCATGTCTCTGCTTCCTACACTCACCTTCAGAGTAGCTGGTTTGAAGGATTTAGAAGGGAAGAAAGCTTGGGGGCACATTGCCCCTCAGGTTTGCTTTGGCAAGTCCTCCAGAGGTGCTCTCCATGTAGCTTGTACAACAATGTTCATTGTAGTTTGGCTGTCCCACAAGACCCTTAAAGATGCAATATTTCTTCCTGCTCTGTGAAGAATTTAGCTGTACTAAATTTTATAGGGTTTGTACTGATACTGCAGATTGCTTTGGGCACTGTGGGAATTTTTTTTTTTTTGAGACAGAGTCTTGCTATGTAATTCAGGCTGGCCTCAAGCTCACTATGTATCCCAGGCTGGCCTTGAACTCATGGAAATCCTCCTGCCTCAGCCTCCCAAGTGCTGGGGTTATAGGCATATGTCCGGCAGGCAATATAGACATTTTAACAGTAGAGATTATTTCAATCTATGAACATGGGATAACTCTGCATTCCTTTGTGTTCTATTGAATTTCTTAAGCCAGCCTTTTCCAGGTGAACCCTAATTCCAAGTGCTAATTGATCAGTTATGTAACTATAAGTGTCCTCTAGCCAAGTAAGTTTAGGAGATGCTAAGTAAGGTAACCGTTCTAAGTTTCTGAGATGATCAATAGAAATTTATTTTCAGATCTGTAAAATCTCTAGGAAGACCCCAAGGGAATCCCCAACCCCTTCCAGGGGACATTTGGAATGCCTGGAGAGGCTTAGAGTGTCAAAGCTGGGATGGATGGGAGGGGCAGTTGTGTGGGGTGATTTACCGGCATTAAGTGGAGAGAAACCAGGGATGTTGTTAACCATCCTATAATAGTCCACAACAAAGACTTATCCCTCTCAAAGGTCAGTAGTGAGGAGGCTGAGAGATGCCACCCAGCACGCTGAGGATAGGCCTGTGCTGCAGAGTGTGCCCTCGAAGGGG